ATTGGTGAGTTGGCTAGGTATTCCAGATGCAGGTCTTCATGGTTCCTTTGCCATACCCAGTAGTCGTCCAAGATTTCTTCACAGCTATGGTTGACTGGTATTCCTAAGCATTTCTTGATGATCTTCTCATTCTTCAGCTGTTGGTCCCAATCCATCAGTTGCTCTGCTGAATTTCCAACTTTCCATGCTCTCCAATCATAGTAGAGCTGCCAGAATTGGTTATCAGCATCATCCATTTGAGGTTGAGGTGAGGGGGTTGGAAGGCTTTGGACTTGAGGAATTTCTTCTTCAAGTTGTTGAGTGCTCCGGTTTTGAGCAGAGGTTTCCTCAGCAGGTTCCTTATCCTTCAACTCATCCGGATTGACATTTCTAGATGTTGATGGAGAGTTGATCTTCCTCTTCTTCTTCCTTTGAAGTTCTCCATGGTCAGAGACTTCTTCTGCTTCTTCCACACTGACCAGAGCAAGGTTCTGTGGTGCTTCAATACTAATTGAGGGAGACACCACTTGCTTCCTTTTGGCAGTTTTTGCCATATGGATGAGTGGAACATTGTCTGATGAGCTTTCTTCTGCAGTGGCACTAGCACTAGCTCTGTTTTCTCCTTTGGAGGATAAGTAGTTTTCATACTTTTTCCCTTTAACTGCAGCGCCCATAGATTCCAAGATATGTCCAATATACAGACCTTGACAGAGATACTTCTGATTGTGCTTTCCTAGATGTTTTGAAATGGATTTGAAAAAGTGTGCAACCCAGTTTACCTTAGTTTTGGTAATGAGAGAGTTGATGATGAAGGCTCTCTCCTGGGTGATGTCATCGGCATGACCTCCACTTCCACATTCGAGGCAGGCGATGACCAGTTCCAAAACCAACTTGTAATCGTTGTTTAGATCTGCTTTCTTCGCTGGACCAGAAGGAATTTGCCCAGAGATTCCAATGATGTTCCAGTCCAGATTTTTGGCTGGAAATTTCCCGATTTCAACTCCAGAATTGGGAAGGCGAAGCTTTTCTCCCAATTTCTTCTGCGAAAGCTTCACTTTCGTACCTCCAACAGTGGACTTGATGACCGGAAACGTCCTCTGTGGGTCCTTCTTTGAATGAGCAGTCTTGACCTCTCCATTTCTGTAGAATTCAAGAACTTCTTCCTCGAATTTGAGGCGAATTTCCATTTGAAGAAATTCGGAGAGTTCTTGAGCGGCTATCATTTCCAGATAGCTTTGAAAGAATGTTGGTGACGAGCACTTGGCTTCTAACTTCTGGAAGTGGACATTTGCACCGACAACCTTCATTTTCTCAGAAATTTGAGTGAGAATTTGAGAGAGAAAGGCCTAGGGTTCTTGAGAGTTTTTCGCGAAGAAGACGACGAAAAATTTTGAATGGGCGGTTTATATCTGAATAGTGGCGATTGGGTTTTATTTGAGCGATTTATGCGGCTAGTGGCGATTGGGTTTTTGACTATTCCCAAGGCCACGTGCCTATCCACTATATTGACAGACGTGGAAAGTGGACTGCCACGTGTACCGCACTCAGTCTGATTGAATTAGACCAATTTTGTGAAGCAAATCGGAAAACTTGGCTTCACTTAGTGGTTTGTGAAGATATCCGCCAGTTGTTCTTCAGTTGAGATATACTCGATTTTGATATCTTTCTTTTCCACATGATCTCTGATGAAGTGATGCTTGACATCAATGTGCTTAGTGCGAGAATGATGCACTGGGTTTTGAGAGATTGCTATAGCACTTTGATTGTCACAAAAGATTGTCACTTCCTTTGTTTTGACTCCATAGTCTAGTAATTGTTGCTTTAGCCACAAAATCTGAGCACAACAACTACCAGCAGCAATGTACTCTGCTTCTGCTGTTGATGTAGAAATGGAGTTTTGTTTCTTACTGAACCAAGAAACAAGATTTCCACCAATGAATTGACAAGTACCAGATGTACTTTTCCGGTCAACTTTGCATCCGGCAAAGTCAGAATCTGAGTATCCCACTAACTCAAATGAATTGCT